CGGAAAAAAAAAAAAAAAAAAAAAAAAAAAAAAAAAAAAAGAAGTAGCAGTGTGCCAGTTCTGAGCCTCAAGAGGCATTGTGTTTCTGCTTGCTTTTGTGTGTCCCTGCTGTTACCATGAGAAGGCCACACTTGGACTAGCCTGCTGGTCCCACAGGAGGATGAGAGACACGTGGAGCAGAGTTGCCCCAGCAAGATAACCTTAATGAAGCCCAGCCTAGAGCCCGCCCTCCCCTGAGCCAACCCATGGACACATGAACAAACACATGAACAAATCCAGCTTAGCCCAGCTAAGAATGTCCTAGATCAAAACGGTCCCCAGCCGACCCTCAGACACATGAGCTATAATAATACATTGTTGTAAGCCATTGGGTTTTGGGGTGATTTGTTACACAGCAGAATAGCTGACAGATGCAACAGGAGACTGGTGTCTTATAAGGGAGTCATGTATCCCAGATAGAGAGACCTGAGCACTTGACAGCTGCTGTGGAGTTGATTGAATTGTGTTCCCCAAAGTTCATATATTAGAAGCTTGGTTCCCACTGTAACTGTTGAGGGTGGGAAATCCTATTATGGTAATTGGAACGTGAGGCCTTGAAGAGGTGATTAGGTTCTGAGAACCATGCCTAATGAATGGATTAAAAATGGTGGCCATGGGCTTATTTCTCAGGGCTTTAAAAAGGAGAGTGCACCAGGAGTTCTCTCTGCTCTGCCATTTTCTGCCATGTGAGACTCCTGGATCACTGTCACCACCACCAAGGCCTTTACCAAATGTGTTTCTTGGACTTTGGACTTCCCAGGCTCCGGAACTGTAAGCAATAAATTTCATTTTCTTACAAATCACTCAGTTCCAGGTATTGTGTTATAAGCAACAGAAACGGACTAATACAACAGCTAGATTAGGAATTGGTTGGGTTTGATTAGCCTCTTCCACCAAGACGCAGGGACTGTCTTCTGAGCACCCGGCTGCCAGCTGTTACACCATTGTGTCAGCGTTCAGGGTCAGCTGCTATGATGGAGCTGAGGATGGAGTGCTTCGACACCCTCCATTACTGCATCATTATCATCTAACGCAGAATCAGCTGCCACATCGATATTCCATGTGTGGGAAGTGGCTAGAAGCCTTACAAGTCCACTTACTAATATTTCACGTGGCAAGATTGTGAGAGCTATGGAAGTCTGGCCACTTTTGTCTTGGTTCTGTATGAACAAACCAGCCAGTTTATTTTTTAAGAAGTCCATTTTGATATTTCACTACCTCAGCTGATTCTGGATGACGTGGTCTATGAAGGTGTGGGTAAATCATTGAGGTTTAAAAAACTTCCTTTAAAATCCATTTTATAAAGCATATGTCCTGATGGATTTTTTTAGTCTGTTTTGTGTTGCGATAACAGGAATACCTGGAACCGGGCAATTTATAAAGAACAGAGGTTTATTTGGCTTATGATTCTGGGACAGCTGCATCTGGCATGGGCCTCAGGCTGCTTCTGCTCATGTTGGAAAGTGGCAGGCAGCCAGCAGGTACAAGCAGATCACATGGCGAGAGGAAGCAAGAGAGAGAGTGAAGGTGCCAGGGTCCTATAAAAAACCAGCTCTCGCAGGAACTAACAGAGTGAGAACTCATTATCTCCCCTCCCCTAGGAAGAGGAGATTAACCCATTAATCCATTAGTCCCTCATCCATTCGTGAGGGATCCACCCCCATGACTCAAATGGCTTCCAGCACTGCCACACTGGGGATCAGATTTCCACATGAGTTTTGGAGGGGACGACACATCCAAACTCCATCATTAATAAATGAACGTATTTCTAATTTGAAATAGCTTCTTTCAAATGTCATTTCACTGAGGGCCACTGTATTAACACACATCTACCATCTACGTATCCTGAAAAAGTTGATTGAAATCGCTGCAACATATGAACAAAATTTCATCTGTATAAAATCCACCAGCATAATTATAAAAGGCCCCCAGGGCAGAAGAAGTGTTACTGTTTTTGTTTGACAGCTCTCATCCTGTTGTGGGCTGACAAATTGGGAGCTCTAACAATCTTGTTAGGAAAACTCTAGAAAATGTTTTGGTAAATCAATCATGCCTAATTGTGCTCAAATTCTCCTCTCTGACTGTTTGAGCCAAGCCTTTGGATGGCCTAGTGAGGTGAGGAAATTAATCAGATAGTGCAATGAGGGATCTGGATGCAAAAGTTTTAGTCTCTGAGGTTTCTAAGTTGAAAACATCTATGAAACCATGTATGGAAGAAACTGGTCAGGTGATCAGGATGAGAAGAAATATGCCTGAGAACAAGAAAAAGTCACAGCCGTGGCTAAAATTTTTTCTTTTAAAAGTAGCTTTATTGAGATACAGTTCACACACCATACCATCCACTCATTAAAGTGCACAGTTCAGTGACTTTTAGTATATCACAGATATATGCAACCATCACCACAATCAATTTTAGAACATTTTTGACACTGCAAAGAAACTTTCATTCCCTTTAACACCTCCCAGCCCCCAGTCCTAAGCAACCACTAGTCTACTTTCTATCTCTGTGGATATGTCTATTCTGGACATTTCATATAAATGGAATCATAGATATGTGGCCTTGTGTTTGCCTTCTTTCACTTAGCGGTAACATGTCAGTATTTCATAACTATTTAGGGCTAAATATTCCATTGGATGGCTGTAACACCTTTTGTTTATCCACTTATCACTTGATGGAAATTTAGATTGTTTACACTTTTTGGGGGGGGGGGGCTGGTGTG